TTAAAAAATAATTTATAAATCCACGCCTTAAGTTCTTCAACAAATTATTAAAAAATAATGTAAAAATCCACGCCTTAAGTTCCTTAACAATTAATTAAAAAAATAATTTAAAAATCCACGCCTTAAGTTCTTCAACAATTAATTAAAAAATCCACGCCTTATGTCCTTCTTATCCACGCCTTGAATTATTCAACAATTAATTAAAAAAACACGCCTTAAGTTCTTCAACAATTAATTAAAAAATAATTTAAAAAAACACGCCTTAAGTTCTTCAACAATTAATTAAAAAATAATTTAAAAAAACACGCCTTAAGTTCTTCAACAATTAATTAAAAAATCCACGCCTTAAGTTGTTCAACAATTCATAAAAACCTCGTCATTCATTAAAAATCCAAGACTAAGGTCCATTAGGTCCTTTTAATATTTATTTTAAATCCACGACTTAGGCGTTTCTCAAATTCATAAAAACAACTTCCCCACAGTCTTTTCTAAAATTCATTAAAAACCCTCCTTCTAAAATTTATTAAAAAAATCCTTCTATGTCCTTCTATGCATTAAAAATCCACTCGCTAGGTCCATTTAAATTTCATTAAAAATCCACTGCTTAGGTCTTTCTAAAATTCATCCACGCCTTAGGCCCTATAAATATCCGTCTAAAACTCTTAAAAAATTCGAATTTTACAGAGATTTTTATTGAGCTTAATAAAAATATCAATAAAATGCTTAAAACCCTCAAATATTTATGGAATAAATATAAATATTCCTCTAAAATTATTAAAATATCCACGCCTTAGACCCTATAAATATTCCTCTAAAATTTATTAAAAATTCCAAGCTTTAGACCCTATAAATATTCCTCTAAAATTCGTTACAAAATCCACGTAGACACTCATTAAAAATTCTACACCTTAGACCCTCTCTAAAATTCCTCTAAAATTCATTACAAAATCCACATTTAGACCTTATAAATATCCCTCTAAAATTCATTACAAAATCCACGTAGACCCTCATTATAAATTCCACGTCTCAGACCCTATAAATATTCACCTAAAATGCGTTACAAAATCCACGTACCCCCTCATTAAAAATTCCACGCCTTAGACCCTATAAAAATTGCTTTAAAATTCGTTACAAAATCCACGCCTTAGACCCTATGAATTATCCTCTAAAATTCATTAAAACTTCCACGCCTTAGGTCCCATAAATATCACTCTGAAAATTCTTTAAAAATCCACGTCTTAGGCCCTAAAATTCATTAAAAATTATTAAAAAATCCACACCGTCTAAATATTGTTAAAGTGCTCAAAGTGGGTTAATCAAAAAGTCTTGTTCTGTTTTGAAATTTCGTTTATTTGTTGTTACTATCGAGAGATACCCGATGCAACATGCACACCTAAACCAGATTTTATATGTCTAGCTTGAAGATTCATTCCATCTCTCATATGAACGGCCAAAACATTTACTGTTGCTAAGCGAAAAATAAAAAAATGCATTTTTGAATTTTTATTTATTTCTAAAGTTATGCAGTGGATTTTTTTTATTGTATAACAACATTTCGATAAATAAAATCACCAATAGATAACAACAAGCACCTAGTGATAAGAAAATATTAATAATGCTTCGTGTGAGAAAAAATAAATTCGTTATTAGTTTTCATAGCAATTTCAAATGATGCGGTCTAAACAGCTACATTGTTGCCAATAAGCGGTAGAAAAGTAAAAAAAAGCTTATATATGGATTATGATATTTGCAAAAAAGGAATGTCGTTGGGAGAAGGATTCGAAAAAGTATTTCTCTTTATTACAATCGAAATTAACAAAATCAAATTCCGATTAAAAACCACAGAAGCATTATTTTAGGTTATGTGTGATTAAAAGATATGAATTCTTATGAAAATGAAAAATATCGATATTTTAACATCCGTAATATCCGTAAAAAATGTTTTTTTTTTATTAATTTATCTAGATAGACATACAAAATGTTTTTGTACTTACCAATTAGTATAATCAGGTCTAGAATTTCGGACATAAATCTCATTTATTGCGAATATATGTTTCCTTTAAAAAAGTCCACTTCTTGCCCGAAATTCCGAAGGATATGCAAGTGTGCAAAGCCATCTTTACAGATGCTATTGACATTCAATGTAAAAACTCCATAACTGTTGAAAAATAATAAACATTATAGTAAAGTCTATAACAATGGAATTTAAAGGCATATTAATTTTTTACTTACCAGCTTGGCTGTAGAATTCTAAATTTTTACCAAATTAGAAATTCCACTTATTGTAATCCTTTATTCCGGTCCCATACACACAAAATAGTGAAAAGTTTTAATTAATAAAATCTAATAGAAGCGAAATCCAATAAATATTTGATTGTTGCAGGTTCTGTAACTGTGTAATATTGTCCTTCAAAGAAAAGCTAATTTATTAATTATTTAATTTATTAAAGCCGTAACCACGTCTCCAGAATTTCAAATATTCAACCAGAACTTAAATTGTTATGTCAAAACTCCACAGCTCTTGGAAAATAAATGCTCATTCGATATTAATGATAAATGTAACGGTATTGTACTAAATTCGATAAACATAATTATCGAATAAGTGGGTTCACACATGGTCTATTAATAAGATCACCTAGGCAGACCAGCTGCAAATCAGATGCTTCACAAAATTGCTGTCAAAATACATTATGAAGATGTAAATCACATCCAAATGTGTATCGTTTTGCTTGAGTAGATTAATGCCATATTAATCAATGGAAACAATTGATCGAAGCGAAAAACTAATAGTTCGCTTTAATTGGACCAAAAAATTATTTTCTCTTTTTCGACAATAGTATTTATTTGTTTTATTATTATCTTTATGACTAAACGAAATTATTTATATTTGTAGTCCTACTTCGAATTCAATTCACAATAATGTATTTTGACAGGCATCAAGAGAATCAGCTAATCTTCATATGTGACCATATAAAAATATCTTAATTAGATATAACCAAGGCCTATTAATAAGGTCATCCAGCTGCCTTTCATGTTTACTGTCAAAATTTTTCAAATTTTATCGCCAATTTTGATTGAAAATCCCCCATATTGTCACATTTTTTGTTAACTTTTTCATACGATTATGTCAAAATTGAAAACATTTTGACAGCTCGGGAGAAAAATCTGGTCTTGCCGGACTGCCCTATTATGGGACCGTGGATATAAAACTACATATACATTAGCACTTTTTACCGGGTTAACCTACTCTATGAGGATTTATTTGACATGTATACAAAGGATTTGACAATGGAAAACCATTGGGTTAACGAAATCCGGTACAATGTAAACGTACTATAACTTAGCGGAAACACTACAAGTGTTAGCAAATATCGAGTAAACAGACACAGCTATTACGATATGCTAGTAAAGTTTTAAGTAAACGTTAATAACGTCAAAATTATTGACTTGGGAGTTTTTAACAATACAAGTATTTTGTACAAGTATTTTTGAGCGCGGTTAAGCTACTAAATCCACTCGATTTCAAATGTTAATTTCATAGCGTATTAAGGTACGTTTAGATATACGAAATCCACTCGATCTCAAATGTCAATTCCATTGCTTATACGTCAAATATAATCCACTGGATTTGTGAACAGGATTAATGTGACGTATACGCAATGGAATTGACATTTGAGATCGAGTGGATTTAATAGTCTAAGTCGCGTTAATCCAGTGTTATAGACATTTGAGACCGAGTGAATTTCCTAAATCTAAACGCAATATAATAGTGCGTTAAGGTTAATAGTCTGTGACCGTGTTTTAAATAACCATATAACTATAATTTTTGTACACTCAGTCTAAATTTCAAAGTTTTACACCTATATGTTCCCTCATATCAATGTTACCAGCATCACTTTGCGATACCATTTTCCTATCCTTATAGTACGAAGTTTTACAAATCCTGCCTTATTACACACATTCGAACCAATACTTATCCAAATGCAAAATTTCTAGATGTTACTCTGGGCTTTGATTATCAAGTTTAATACTTGTCATACCCTTTTAGTACAAATTTCTGGATCCGTCATTTTCCTTCCTATTTGACTATCAACAAATTATTTCACGTTCACTTCTAACTATTTCATGAATATGTCATATTTTTTAATATTTTATCATATTTTGACTATTGATGCAGCAGGGCTGCTACAACAAAAATAACAACTATAGATTAAGTGTCTCTTCTACGGCAGATAGGTATGCGAACCGATATTACCCGGGTCTTACTCAGTCAACGTCTTTTACCCCACTCCATTCTGTAAAAGTAGCTACAACAACAATCACCATAGGTTATAGGTGGGCGGGCTGTCGGCCATTCCTCTGGTACTGTCCTACAGATCCCGCTCACAGTCCGCAACTGCTTATTTAAACCCACCATACGCAACATGTGGAAGCGTCCGATAAGCCCATGTCCCCGTTGGATGGACAGAACGATGCAAATAAAAACATACATTTTATATATATCAGTTTAGAGGCTTTTTTATCACTGGTAAATCCATACTTCCCGAGATATAGGACTCTCTAGTTCCGAAAAGTCATTCGCTGATAACTTTGTGTTTCACGAATGGATGAAGGTACCGAATTCCACATTTAAGTAACCGGACAACAGATTTTTTGGATCTCACACATTTTCGAGACCTACTTGCGGTAAACATGTCAACAAATTAAAATGAACCGCTGAATTTAGCATAAATTCAATGAGGTGTAGGGTATAAACATTATTTTGCAACATTTGACCTTCATTCACTGAACGTACCCCACTGTTTTGGTTTGCAAATATTTTGTTCCGTTCATTTTACGCAATTCATAATATGATCAGCTCATTTGCTCCTCTTCCATGTCACATTCTAAACAACGACAAACAGCCAGCCGTTATGCATAACACTTGTTCGTAAACACCGTCATTCTCTTTGTCATCCGATTCGAAGAACAGTTTACATCACACTCATAGGCCACAAAATTCTTTCCAGACCATGGCAAGGCACGCTTTAATTGGTAAATAATTCAGAATACTCATCTAATCAGCATTACTAATACGATGTCTTCTAGGAGGTGGTACTGGTTTTGTAGGTACTCGTCTTGCCAAACATTTGGCTGGGCAAGGATATGAAGTTACGGTGGTGTCACGTATGCCCGGGCTGAAACGTATCACTTGGCATCAATTGGAAAAGGATGGTCTACCCAAAGGTGTTACTTCCGTAGTCAATTTGGCTGGACAAAATGTTTTGGATCCATCCAGAAGATGGACAGCTGGTTTTAAACAAAACGTTTGGAATTCACGCATCAATTCGGCGGCATCTTTGGTAAAAGCCATCGAAAAGGCGGGAGGTGTTGAGGCTTTTGTGAATATTTCCGGTGTTTCGCATTATCTCCCCAATGAAGATAAGGTTTATACAGAAAATGATGCTGTACAGGGATTCGATTTTATGTCTAAATTATGTTTGGAATGGGAAAAGGCTGCAACATTGCCAGACAGTTTGCAAAGTACAACAAGGGGTGTAAGTACTGTGAACAGAACACAATTATATGATCCATATGATGTTAAAATGTCGTGTAGGTTAAATTGAGAACCGGTGTTGTTGTCGGACGTGAAGGCGGTATGATACAATCCATATGGATGCCATTTAATTTAGGTGTGGGTGGTCCAATGGGTACCGGCAAACAAATACTGCCATGGATTCATTTGGAAGATTTGTGTCGTCTCATTCAACATTGTTTGGAAAACAAGGATTGCAAGGGCGTATTTAATGCAGTTGCTCCCGACATTGTAACAAATGGAGAATTTTCAAAGGTATATTTGGGTAAACACTGGCCAATACGAATAATACTTTACTTTATATTCGAAGCTAGAGAAAGAATAATTAATTAAATTATAAAAAAAAAATCTTTTAAAATTAGATAATTTTTATCAAGTTATTGGTCTGTTTCCTTACTAATAACGTGATTTGAATGTTCAAATTTTAAAGAGAAAATTCGAAAATAATTGCGAATAATACAAAATTCTTGCAGGAAGATTTGTTTCTAGTGATCTTTAAAATGCCGCGTTTTTTCGTATTGCCCAGAATTTAATCGTGTGTTTGAATGCGTTTATTTAATTAACATAAATCGTTTTTTTGTTTTCAGACCTTTGCTTCAGCCTTACATCGGCCCTGCCTCTTTGCTGTACCCGAATTTGTGGTCGACTTAATGTTTGGCAAAGATCGTTCAGCTTTACTTTTAAGTGGTGCTAAAATAGAACCCAAACATGCTTTGGATACAGGCTTCCAATTTAAATATCCCACTGCCAAATTGGCCTGCCAGGAAGTGGTAAAGAAACAATAAATGCGAAAAAGAATCTATAAATGATACTAATATGTACTTGGCTTTTGTGATTGGTAGTTTTATATACATATGTAGGTCTAATATGATGCTGTTCCTTATTTATTTATACTAACATATTTTTTTCGATGTAATCTGAACAAAAACAATTTTTTTTTATTTATGCCAAACGATTTAAATAAAATTCGATTTTATTAGTATTTATTTAACTGAATATATGGTGTTTATGAAATCGGTATTCTAAAATATATCTCAGTAAGTTATATGATGCTATAGCCACATCCTATAACTAACTGAGCTATAGCTGAATTAAGGGGTTCATGGAAATTTTTCTGACTCAAAGCAGACGCAGACTGTGATCGGGATCTGTAGGACATCACCGTCCACCTATAACATATGGTGTTTGTTGCTATAGCACTCATACTACTTTTAGAGAATGGAATGGGGTAACAAACGTTGGCTAAGTAAGACTCGGGTCATTTCGGTTCGCACCTAACCTATAGATGTTGTTGTTGTAGCAACAGAATACATGCAGTGTGTCATTCATCAACTGGTTCTTGAACGTGTAGTCCTAGTCCACATGCAATTCATGCCCAATATGAATTGAGGCGGTTGCATCATCCTGATCTTAGCTGCGATAGATAGGGGCCTGGCGCGACAGCCTGAGCGACTGCGTCCGTGTGAATACCATTCTGACCTGCTTAATAGGCTTCTTGATCTAGAGGTTCATCGCATCGACAACATATAATTGTGACGATGGGCGATTAAGATCTTCGTATCCTCATAAAGATGATCCACAGGAATCATGAGGAGACACCCTGTTGCAGTTTTCAGGGCAGCATTCTGGTAGGTCTGTCTGGCAACTATATGTTAGGGCGTACTACATGTACGTCTTAATATATAGTTGTTATTTTTATTGTAGCAACCCTACTGATTTTACACCAATGGTCAAAACCAAGTACCTCATAGTTCAAATTTATTAATGATAATTGGTAGAAAACATTCCAGTTAGTATTGATACGGCAAATCGTTTTGTCAATATAAGGGTCCATATCTGATAATTGTTGAAAAACTGAATTTCTCACTTTATTTATCTAATTTGTAAAGTAAATTTTAAAGTCAATGGAGTAGCAAAAAAGGTTTAAAAAGTTGGGCCCAAAATTTTTATTTGAGTTGTGAAGAGGGTGTATTTACACGTATAATAAATTTCAACCCCAGATGCTTACGGTCCTAGGAAGTTTTTAACTTTTGGGTGACCTCCTTATTTAAAAAAATATGGCATATTCATGAAATAGTAAGAAGTGAACGTGAAAGAATTTATTGATAGCCAAAATAGGAAGAATGACGGATCCAGAAATTTGCACTAAAAGGGTACTGAAAGTATTAAACTTGATAATCAACGCGCAGAGTAGCATCTAGAACTTTTGCATTTGGGTTATAGAATTGGTTCGAATCGAATGTGTGTAATAAGGTTGGGTTTTGTAAATAATCGTACTATAAGGATAGGAAAATAGTATTGCAAAGTGATGCTGGTAGCATTGATATTGAGGCAACACATAGGCCTAAAACTTTAAAATTTGGACTGAAGGTACAAAAATTATAGATTTATGGTTATTTAAGCCGAATAGTGCTGTAATTATTTTTTTTCGAATTGTGGAACGAAACTTTCAGCGTCTCTAGATTGTGGGTCACAGAATCCAAAAATTTGATTTGTATCCTTTTTTCTTTTCAGGATAATCGACAGGATCAATTTTTGGGCTGTGACCATATGTTCACACTAGATGAATTTATTGATTGTATTATGAGTGGGACCATATGGTCACGTTGGTTGTAATATAAACAATGGTATGTACTCCAAGAATCTACTAATTTTTGCAATTTTGATATCTAAAAAATAGTGAAAAAACTAGTATATTCTTGCAGTATAGGACCACTACCACTAGTTCAACAACTGGAAAACACTTACCTTTTGAACTCCTGTCGCCCTGCTATTAGGTATATATATTTTTATTATTATAACTTTCCAAACTGGTTTATGCAATCGATAGAGGAATATTGCAGATTTTTTTATTACACGATATAATGAACGGATTTTGAAAAATTTTGTATATGTATTCTTCAACGGATGAATCACACCAACGGATGTCTAGCATATATGGACGCGACGAAAGAACTTAAATTTAATTACTAAATGAATGTGGATTTCCAGAACGTTCTCCTATTGGATGTTGGAGAGTAGTGAGAACTTGACGAAGGACTTTTAAACGACGGTATTTGATTAGTTTTCTTTGAATTTTTAAGAGTTTATTCTGAAAATTGCGATTTTCTCTTAGAAACGGAAGGAACATGGAACACGGAACATGTTCCAGTTACTGGAATGAAGTCCTAGATTTTTAAGAGAGTATTCTGGAAATGACGATTTTCTCTGGGAATGTGAACTTGTTGCAGATCTCTTCCAGAACTCTCTCTCTCTCTCTCTTGAAGTTTCATTCCTAGAGAGCATCGATTGATTAAGGAGAAAAAAGAACAGAAAAGAGGTTAAATATTTCAAAAGTAAAAAATAGGGAGTTTTAGAACTGTCTCCTCTTATTGGAATGATGAGCAATAATTAGGGCTGACTTAACGAAGGTATTTGATTGGTTTTCTTTGATTTTTAAGAGCGTATGTTTTGCAATTCTTGAACAATGCTGAGCTTCCTTGTATTCTAAAGTATGTTCTCTTATCTATTATGCATACCATTAAAGTTTTAAATCAATGGTGGGCAAAAATTCTCTTAAAGATTTGTTAAGGAAAATTAAAAACAAGAATTATTCTGTAGAATTTATTTAGTTTAAAATTTTTAAAACATAAATAACATCCCAGGAAATTCAAAAAATAAATTCGTTAACAAAATTGCGGAAAATTGTTCATTAGGATTCATTTTTGTTTTAACATCAAAAAATTTTAAAAGAACGCATCAACGCTGGTGTGCAAGCCTGCCCAACTATGTTTTAAATATTTGTCTTTTAATTTTTATACCCTTCATCGCAGGGTATTATGTCTTTGTTCATACGTTTGTAACATGTAAACGGAAACGAGATAGACACATGGTTCCTTTTGAGAATATGCATAGAATCACTTTCTGAGTCGATTTATGCATGTCCGTCGCAAAGTACAGGTCGCATTTATGATTCGAATTGGATGAAATTTGGCACAGCTCATTTATTTGGCCCATATATATTTTCGTCCGATTTAAGGTAAATGGTGCACCGAAGTCCCTTTATATCTCTAGATTTGCATGAAATTTGGCACAGCGTACTGAATTGTGTATAGAAAGATGTGTGCCAAGTTTCGTGAAAATCGGTTCAGATTTAGATGTAGCCCTATATATATTTCGTACGATTTAATGTAAATGGTGTACCAAAGCCCGAATATATATTTCGAATTGCACGAAATTGCCATAGCGTACAGAATTGGGTATAGAATGATGTGCGCTAAGTTTCGAGAATATCGGTTTAGATTGAGATATAGCTCCCACATATATATTTTCATCCGATTTTAGGTAAATGGTGCACCAAACTCCTAATGTTTGTCCGATTGACACGAACGTCTGCACAACGTATCAATTTGAAACTAGAATGGCGTTATTGCGATTTATTGAAATTGGTGCAGATGCAGACATAACTTCCATATATATTTCGCACGGGTGTCTAATTGAGATTAATTATTTAAGAGTCCGGCATACCGAATAGCGTGCATTAAAGGAAACCCCCATTCGCGATAAATGTCCTTATTTTTAATGGCGGGCATGATAACTCCTCACTGGAACATCGAAATCCGAAAATTCCAAAGGTTTTGGAAAGAGTACATGTCTGGCTCTCGTATGAACTAGGATTACTGACTTCGCACAACAATTAACAAAATGGCGGAACTTTGAAAATATTTTTTTGAAAAATCGCCTACTTTTGACCACAAACTAAGTTAAAAAATAAGGAAGATCTTCACCGGTTGGCTTTATCCTAGTTCATACCATAGCTATACACTCACAAAGAAACGTCCGAAAATTTGAAATCGATTCGGTTATTAGTTTTTGAATTATCGTGCCCGCCATTCGCAAAAACGATGTTTGGAGAAAAACGCGTTTAAAGTTTGAGAAGCCCTCTTGCTATCACCTGATGCTAACACAATAAATCGGCTATATCTTCAAAAATTGTTGAGATTTTCACTTGAAAATTTATAGGGACATTCTTGAATTAGTGTAGGTTCGAATTAAATCAAAATAAAAAATTAAATTTTTTGAAACCGAGAATGGGTGGGGTCCCCTTAAGTTTGCTATAAATCGATTTAAATAAGATTTCCCATTGTACACAAACGACTCTAAATCTGCCTGAATGAAATGAATATGTTTCAGAATATATATACGGATTGATGTTAGTCGGTTCAAAGATAAAGATCACATATTTAAGTTCGTTCAATTTTATGTCAATATTCCTTCGAAAAAGCGACGTCTATTAGGATATATGTAGAATATATCAATGTGGTGAAGGGTATCATATAGTCGGCCCAGTCCGACTTTACTACTTTCCTTACTGGTTAATAATTTATTTTCAAGCCGATGCTTTATCTTTTAAAAATATTTAAAAATGCAATAAATTCACTTAAAAACGTTGTTTGAAAACGCTCATTGTGACGGCCGTTTCTGATCAAACATCAGATTTATCTGACAAAAGAACTCCCTTGTTGATTATAAAGCGTCATCTATTGAATTAAATCGACACTATTACATGAAGTTGCTATAATATGATCAAGAACCTGTGACAGGAATTTTAGATCCCTTTTGAAGTTTCTCAATGTCACCTTGAAAATCTTCAAATTTTGCACATGGTGGTAACCTGTGATTATTCAGAACGTCATAAAGTGTCAAGAGAGGTTAACATACAAATTATGACATTTTTTTAAATAAACGGTAATATCAAATAAATGTCATATTCCCTCGGAAATCAAATTAAAATTAATTAAATCACAT